ACCAGCCCCAGTGTCCCCCACCACTGGGAGCATTACCTGTGTCTTCCCCCAGCCCCCGCAGCACATCGAGCCCCCGATGAGCCCCCGCACGCCCTTGGGCTTTGGAAGGATTTAGCCTTTAAACCGGACATGTGAAGTCAGGAAGGTTTATTCCAGTAAACAGAATTTCTCTTGAGCTTGACAGTACAACACCCGATCGCAACACATGGAAACAAAACATCCACAGGAAGAATTTTCACAAAATACATTTAAAAAAAAAATAAACAGTGATTGGAAAACTCTTATTTCAGAAAAAAAAAAAGTCTATTGAGAAGCCTTTAAATTAAACAGTGGCAGATTCAAACCCTGATCGGCAATGTCTCCAGGAGTGAGCGGGAGCAAAGGAGATGATTATTGCTTGCTGTGCTGGCTCCAAACACCCTCTCCTCTGCCAAAATAGCCCTGGGTGCTGGGGGCTCCCTGCTGTGCTGGGCACCCCTGTCCCTCCTTGCAGCTGGAGGGGCAAAGGGACAGGGTCATTGTGGACGGAGCTTGCCAGGCGGGGGTCAAACACCCCCAGGGAGGAATCGCTGTGGTCAGTGGCCAGGAAGGTGGGAGTTTGCTAAAAGTCACTAAAAGCCTCAGGTCTTGCAGGTAAAGGGCAATTTGGGGTGGGGGGGAGGCTCAAATGGAGGTGGGGTTTGGGGTGGGGGAAGGACCAGAGAGTAGCAGGGATCAGAAATGTTGGGCATCAGGCTGCCCCAAATCCTTGATGCCCCCCCAAAAGCCCTGCTCGTGCCTACCAGGGTGTGCAGGGCTTCAAAGCAGGGCTGAAGGAACACCCCAGGGATGGGCTTACAGGAGGGGGTACCCCCCAGCACCCCCTGGTTCTCTCTAGCCTAAAACCACCACCCAGGACCTCGTTGCAGGGACACTTGCTGGCCACCGAGCCCCATCGCTCAGGTCAGGGTGGTGTTGGAGCAGCCCCACATCCCCACCAGGAGCCTGTGGCAGGGAGGAGGGGGATGCAAGAGAGGTGGGGGTGAGGCTGGGGAGACCCTGGCCCCGGGGCCTTCACAGGTTGCTGAACAGTTCATTTTTCTTGCTCCAGTCCATCTGGGGCGCCCGCTTACTGGTGCGCTTCTGGTGCGCCCGTTCCTTGGCCACTGCCAGCGGAATGTCGAGGTCCAGGAGGGAGCCGGGTGCCGAATGGCGCTTGTCACCCTCTTGTGCGTTGGGCTGGGGGGCGAGAGGTTATGTCAG